AGTAATAGTGCCCCATTGTTGGGGTCAGTGGCAGTGGGAAGAATAGTGCCCTATTGTTGGTTTCCCTGGGAGGAATATTATTTATTTATTTTTTCAGGTCCTTATATAACGCCATCAATTTACACAGCACTTTACATATATATTGTACATTCACATCAGTCCCTAACCCTCAAGGGGTGTACAATCTAAGATCCCTAACCCTCAAGGGGTGTACAATCTAAGGTCCCTAACCCTCAAGGGGTGTACAATCTAAGATCCCTAACTTACATTCATACATACATATACTAGGGACAATATAGACAAGAGCCAATTAACCTACCAGCATGTCTTTGGTGTGTGGGAAGGAACCCACGCAGGCACAGGGAGAACATGCAAACTCCAGGCAGGTGGTGCCGTGGTTGGGATTCGAACCAACAACCCTAGCACTGCCAGGTGGAAGTGCTAACCATTTAGCCACTGTGCTGCCCCATTGTTGGTGTCAGTGGGAAGAATAGTGCCTCACTGTCATTGTCAGGAACTATGTCCCACTGTTGCTGACAGTGGGGGGAATAATGCCCCTCCAAGGGCCAGATAAAAGCAAGCAAAGGGCCACATCCGGCCCCCAAGCCGCAGTTTGGAGACCATTGCATTATAGGGAAGGGTCAGTTGGACAGTAAATTGAAGATTTTCCTAAATGCCACCTATAAAAGTGCAAAACTTGATTATACTTGAATGCAATTTGGGATTGCTTACATTTATCTTTCATTTCTTTACCTTAAAAACAAAATAATTCTACAATCAATGGTACATTTAGGACCCCCTCCCCACACCAGCACAGATTTAACCAGCACTTGGAGGCCCGTTACAGGGCAGGAGGCCATGGAGGAATAGACCCTCAACCAGGAGAGCCAGCTGTAGACTTTCTGAGCCTATGGAGGTGGGGGCTAGGGTGGATTGCAAAAGACCAAGGCAAGAGTTCCATGAGTGAGGCTGTTCTCCAGAAGGGTCCCAGAAGAGGTGTACCTATGGAGGAAGTGTCTATAGAGAGCACAATCCTGAGAATACCAATGATCCCAGGTGGAAGGAGAGACTGTTAGAGGGAGATAGCTGGTTAAAGTGCTGCATATGCTTTCACTTATGACTGCTGTGGACTGTCCACTAAATGTGATTGACTTTAAATTGTCAAGTGACTGCAGAATGTATGTTGCTGTAATGTAACTGTTATGTCATCCCTTGAATTCCACTAGTAAAGTGCAGCAATTCTAGTTATATGTGTGGACATTCCTTCCTTGGATTATAAAAGTCAACGGCTGGGAATGTTGTGTGGAGGTGACAAGGAGCGGGGCACAATATGGTGGAGGGTCAACCTCAGCAGGAGGGGCAGTTTTCTAGCAGGACAGGAGTGGGGGCAGGGAATTGTGGTCTTGGTGTCAATTCAAGCCATCTACAAATCTCCCTTACACACAGACGACATGAATGTGAACTGCTATGACCTGCCATTGAGGAAGCTCATCGGAAGCTCAGAGACCATAACAGTTTCCAGGTCCCTGGAGGTCTTCTGCAGTGATCTTCTGGCCTACACCTCATCTATAGTGAAATCATGTCTAAATCACCAGTTTAGCCTCATTACTATGGCTTACCCAGTACACAAAATGGATATTTTTGGTAGTATGGTGGGCTGAGTCACTCACTGGCCCCTTTCCCCAGTGGCATAACTCTTGGCTCCCAACCACATTGGAGCTCTGAGAGATCATGTCCATTGTGTGGGAAGAAATAAATGAAAAAGCCAATAGAGAAAGTATGACACCCTCATAATGGTCTCAGCAGATGCGTTCACTAGGCAACTGAGGTCTAGAGAGCTCTTCAGCTGAGTTTGAGACACGCCTGACAGTATTAGGTGGTTTAAAGTGACTCTGATACCCAGGGGCGAACTGACCATTTGGGCACTTGGGCACTGCCCTAGGGCCCAGGGTCAGTAGGGGGCCCCATGAGATGCCCCTAGTACCTTTCATAGGCTTTTTTGGGTGTGGTTTGAGTGTGGGTGAGGACACAGGGGCCCCATGATCCCTTATTGCCCCATAAGTTGTCAGTCCGCCCCTGCTGATACCCAACTGGTAAGAATGTAGGAGGGGCCAAGCATTTGGTACCCAGAGAGGAGAGAACGCACATGGAGACCAAGCATTGCAGCAAAGTTTATTAACAAATAAGTGGTAACTGGGTCTGTGTAACACGGCCGGACCCGGCACAGAAGGGCTTGAAAAACATAGTTTGGTTTTACAGAAGATGATTGGAACAACATCTGACAACATCTGGCAACATCTGACAAAGGGGATGGCTGGAAGGTGGTCTGGCAACAAGGCACCTGAAGTAGGATTGTCACCTCACCCCTTTAAAAACCGAACACATATTAATGACACGGGTTCTGTGGCTGACTAAGGTGGTAATTAAACTCACTTGGTGCCTTATCTGCATCAAATTAGCCTCAGAACCTGTCATTAATATGCAGTCGGTTTTAAAGGGATGAGGTGGCAACCCTAACCTGAAGGCAGTAGACACTCCTGGTAGGCGACCCAGGCGAGCAGTCCCTATTCTGTCCCTCCTCCACTGGAAGCTGTTCCTGTCCCTGACCCAGCCACTTCGCAAATGAGCACCAACTGCAAGGGGCGGTGCTATTTATTAGCACTTCCCACAATAAAGATGGCTTCTGAGGTCATCCAGGGTCACCCAGTTGGACAACTACACTCCTAATGACATCTAAGGAGGCCACAGAGGAACAGGAGTTCCTCCTGTCCTTCGCAATCTCTGCATGGTGTCTGTTGCAACGGCGCCACCTGTGCAGGGAGCCTGAACTGCAGCTGCCTACAAGCATTATTACTCTTCTTGTGCAAATAGTCTCTTGTTTTTTTTCTATTCTTTATTCTTTTTTTTTTTTATATCCCAGCTGTCTCTAGCTCTGACATCTACTTAAACCTGAAATGTCAGTTTCCAGCAGACAGATTCTTTAAAGGCTAAGTCCACCTTCTGGAAAAAATATTAATAAATGAGAATATTATTTGGAGCAAAAAAAATGTGCATTTCATTTTTTTTTTTTATATGAGAACCATTGCAACCAGAGGCAATGCCAGGCTCCTGTAGATTCTTCCTCCAGCTCTATGTCCTAAATATGGGTGTAGCATGGTGTAAAAGGTGGAATTAGCCTTTAGCACTTCTGCCTGGTAGTACCAGGGTCGCTGGTTCATATCCCAGCCACGGTTCCACCTGCCTGGAGTTTGCATGTTTTCCCTGTGCCTGCGTGAGTTTCCTCCAGGTACTCCGGTTTCCTCCCACACTCCAAAGACATGTTGGTAGGTTCATTGGATCCTGTCTAAATTGTCCCTAGTATGTGTATATATGAATGTAAGCTAGGGACCTTAGATTGTATGCCCCTTGAGGGTTAGGGACTGATGGGAATATACAATATATATGTAAAGTGCTGTGTAAATTGACGGCACTATATAAGTACCTGAAATAAATAAATTCCTTGCATTTACACCCATGCATGCATTGTAATGCATGTCAAACGTATGCTATCACAGTGTACTACAAGGGGCAGTCTATATGTATTGTGGCATTTTCTATCCATTTTTAATAGCAACCCAAAGCATACGAATGGTGTCAACCAAGGCACTGCATGTAAATATAAATGTACTGTAAATATACATGTGATGCTTCGCCCAAAAAACATGCAGTTGCATTTCTTTTGGTGCATTAAAGCACGCTAAGGCTAGGTTCACATGGTTGTGTATGCAAGTTCATGATTTTTTCATGGGATATTATTTATGCCTTTTTCATGAACTCTTGTTGAAGTCTATGGGGCCAAAAATATGCATTGTCACACCACAAGAAGTATCTGTACTTGGTCAAGACACATGGAGGGAAAATGCACAGGTGTGAAGGCGCCCTACAGAAAATAATGGTAATGACAGCCTAGTGGCTTAGTGATTAGTACTTCTGCTTTGCAGGACTACTGTCCCCAGTTGGAATCCCAAATGGAACACTATCTGCATGGAGTTTGCATGTTCTCCCTGCGCTTGACTGTCTTTCCTCCCATTGTCTAAACAAATGGTGGACAACCTTCTTGATATGGGGAACCTCAAGTGTGGCCTCCAACATCACCAAGGGCCCACACTTAAAATTAGGTGAATATTCGGTCTTGGAGACAGCAGACACGTAACAGGAAATAGTGACTGCAGACATGATACAAGAGATGGTCAGAGACTGCAGACATGATACAGGAGATGGTCAGAGACTGCAGACATGCTACAGAAGATGGTCAGAGACTGCAGACATGATACAAGAGATGGTCAGAGACTGCAGACATGATACAGGAGATGGTCAGAGACTGCAGACATGCTACAGAAGATGGTCAGAGACTGCAGACATGATACAAGAGATGGTCAGAGACTGCAGACATGATACAGGAGATGGTCAGAGACTGCAGACATGCTACAGAAGATGGTCAGAGACTGCAGACATGATACAAAAGATGGTCAGAGACTGCAGACATGATACAGGAGATGGTCAGAGACTGCAAGCATGATACAGAAGATGGTCAGAGACTGCAGACACGATACAGGATATTGTCAGAGACTGTAGACATGATACAAGAGATGGTCAGAGACTGCAGACATGGTGCAGGAGATGGTCAGAGACTGTGAACATGATGAAGGAGATGGTGAGAGACTGAGGACATGATACAGGATATAGTGAGAGACTACAGGCATGATACAGGAGATGGTTAGAGACTGTGGATATAAGACAAGAGATGGTCAGATACTGCAGACATAGTACAGGAGATGATCAGAGACTGCATACATGATACAAGAGATGATCAGAGACTGTGCATATAGTACAAGAGATGGTCAGCGACTGCGGGCATGATACAAAAGATGGTCAGAGACTGCAGACATGATACAGGAGATGGTCAGAGACTGCAGACATGATACAAGAGATGGTCAGAGACCGCGGGCATAATACAAAAGATGGTCAGAGACTGCAGACATGATACAGGAGATGGTCAGAGACTGCAGACATGATACAAGAGATGATCAGAGACTGTGGACATGATACAAGAGATGATCAGAAACTGTGGACATGATACAAGTGATGGTCAGAGACTACAGACATAATACAAGAGATGGTCAGAGACTGCGGACATGACACAATAGATGGTTAGAGACTACGGACATAGTTACATAGTCTGGTTGAAAAAAGACAAAAGTCCATCCAGTTCAACCATAAAAAAAGTTATAATCTTATACCCACAGTTGATCCAGACAAAGGCAAAAAACCCAGCAAAGCCTGATCCAATCTGCTCCTGCAGGGGACAAAATTCCTTCCTGATCCCCCGAGAAGCAATCGGATATTCCCTGGATCAACTTTACCTATAAATGTTATATCCAGTTATATTCTGTGTATCTAGGAAAGAAACATGATACAGGAGATGGTCAGAGACTGCAGACATGGGGCATGGTACAGGAGAAGGTCAGAGACTGAGGACATGCTACAAGAGATGGTCAGAGACTGAGGACATGCTACAAGAGATGGTCAGAGACTATAGACATGGTACAAGAGATGATCAGAGACTGCGGACATGATGCAAGAGATGGTCAGAGACTATAGACATGGTACAAGAGATGATCAGAGACTGCGGACATGATAGAAGAGAAGGTCAGAGACTATAAACATGGTACAAGAGATGGTCAGAGACTGCGGACATGATAGAAGAGAAGGTCAGAGACTACGGACATGATACAAGGGATGGTCACAGACTGCAGACATGATACAAGAGATGATCAGAGACTGTGGACATGATACAAGGGATGGTCACAGACTGCAGACATGATACAAGAGATGATCAGAGACTGTGGACATGATACAAGGGACAGTCAGAGACTGCAGACATGGTACAGGTGATGGTCAGAGACTCTTGGAACAATTCAACAGATGGCCATAGACTGTGGGCACAATACGAGAGATGGTCAGAGACTGTGGACATGCTGCAGGAGACTGTTAGAGACTGTGAATGTGATATAAGTGTTGGAGAATGGGAACATGCTTAAAGAGAATCATAGACTGGGGACACATTACATAAGACTGCAAAAGATCGCTGCTATAACAGGGCAATAAGGTAATATGAGTCCAAGTGTCTGCAGGGGCCCTGAGAGCCGCACAGAAAGTGCTGATGGGCTCCAGGTTGGGCACCAGGGGTCTAAAGACTTACTGATAGTTTAATTGTCTCTAAATTGGTCCAAATATATGTATGTATGTGAGATAGAGACCTTAGATTGTAATCTCCTTGACGGCAGGGACTGATGTGAAAGTTATATATAAATTCTTGACACTATATAAAAAAACATAAAAAATAAAAAGTCTTGTCATCGTATAAAATCGCAGAGGTGTGAACGACGGGACCGAAACCCCATTCAAAGTAGACTGCGCCTAAGTGTGAATGGCCAGAGGAAGTGAGGGCGAGACGCAGACTGCACTAGCTACCTCGAAATCTAGAAAACCGACAACGCTGGCCCTTCTATCCAACAAAGATCATCAGGGAGGGAGACACACCCTTTAAGAAAAAGAAAAGGGTCGGGCTCTTTTTAGGAGACGGAGGCTCAGAGAGGGTTAAAAGTAGCTTGCGCACAGTAGCACATGTGGAGTGACAAATGGGGGGGGGAGTGTGAGAAAATTCTAATGAGCATGATGCTTGACACACCCTGACACAAGAATAGTGAGACACAGAGAGAGAGAGAGAGAGAGAGAGAGAGAGAGAGAGAGAGAGAGAGAGCGAGAAGGAGAAGAAGAAGCAACGTGGATGGAAGAACTCAGCAAAGACCAGAAGAGCACACAAAGACCAATAAATCCGACACACCCACCCAGCCACACAAGAAGACAAACCTCAACACAAAAGAGAGGCGGACGATGAAGTAAAGGAAATAGGCCGCCCCAAATTATTATTTAAAAAAAAATAAAAAAAATAACAAAAGAAGAACGCAGACAGGGGACCAGATTGCACCCGTTCCCAGCATCACATCTTGCCTGTACAAACATTACAGCAGCTTCCAAGCAGCAGAGGAGGGGTGGGTGGTTGGATAACCCTGGCAACGCAATAAAGAAGTGGAAAGCCGGAGAGAGAGGAGAAAAAAAAAAGAAGGAAAGATACACCTCGCACATGTAACGGGAGGAGAGGACGGAGGACCAGAAGCAGCATCTTTACAGGTAAGCTACGCCGGGACTGTTGGGTCCTATGGAAGAGGCGTGCGGGCTCAGGGACCAAAGTTGGCTCCTGTAATTGTGGATTTGGATTGTCATAGACCATTGCACGGAGAAGGACATCTCCTGGGCTCCCAGAACAATAGCACGACAAGGCTGGGGTGGTGGGGGACTTCAAAGTGCCATGACTTACGGGTAAAGTGCAGGAATGTAAAGCAGGCAAAAGTGCAAAGTGTAAAAGCTATGTGCAAAGTGCAATGGTCCTTTATTAGTTATTGCCTTTTATTGTAGGTTATGAGATCGGATGAGGTCCAGTTGGATGCTATGGGTTGCTGTTCTTTGCATGTACTTACTTAATAAGACTTGTCTGGTCATCAAGCATTATTCTGCCACCTAAAACTGTCCCTGTTATGGTCTCTGTTCCTAGATAGAACCTGGACCATCATTATTATAGAAATGTTAGTGGTCTCGGATATTGAAGAACCTGTAAAGATCTGAGGTTGTCCTTTTGGCACTAGAAACGCTTTTTTGATAAAGCAAACAAAGTGCCATGACTTACGGGTAAAGTGCAGGAATGCAAAGCAGGCAAAAGTGCAAAGTGTAAAAGCTATGTGCAAAGTGCAATGGTCCTTTAGTAGTTATTGCCTTTTATTGTAGGTTATGAGATTGGATGAGGTCCAGTTGGATGCTATGGGTTGCTGTTCTTTGCATGTACTTACTTAAGAAGACTTGTCTGGTCATCAAGCATTATTCTGCCACCTAAAACTGTCCCTGTTATGGTCTCAGTTCCTAGATAGAATCTGGACCATCTTTATTATAGAAATGGTAGTGGTCTCAGATATTGAAGAACCTGGAAAGATCTGAGGTTGTCCTTTTGGCACTAGAAAAGCTTTTTTGATAAAGCAAACAGAGCTAAGTGCAATGACTTACAGGTAAAGTGCAGGAATGCACAGCAAGCAAAAGTGCAAAGTATAAAAGCTATGTGCAAAGTGCAATGGCCTCTTGGAAAGAAATCAGATTTTCTTTTATTGTAGGTTAAGAGATCAGATGAAGTCTGATTGGATGCTATGGGTTACTGATCTTTGCATGTGGTCATTGTACTTACTTAATAAGACTTGTCTGGTCATCAAGCATTATTCTGCCACCTAAAACTGTCCCTGTTATGGTCTCAGTTCCTAGATAGAACCTGGACCATCTTTATTATAGAAATGGTAGTGGTCTCAGATATTGAAGAACCTGGAAAGATCTGAGGTTGTCCTTTTGGCACTAGAAAAGCTTTTTTGATAAAGCAAACAGAGCTAAGTGCAATGACATACAGGTAAAGTGCAGGAATGCACAGCAAGCAAAAGTGCAAAGTGTAAAAGCTATGTGCAAAGTGCAATGGCCCCTTAGTAGCTGTTTCCTTTTATTGTAGGTTACAAGATTGGATGAGGTCCAGTTGGATGCTATGGGTTGCTGTTCTTTGCATGTAGTCATTGTACTTACTTATTAACACTTGTCTGGTCATCAAGCATTATTCTGCCACCTAAAACTGTCCCTGTTATGTTCTTAGCCCCTAGATAGAACCTGGACCATCATTATTATAGAAATGGTAGTGGTCTCAGATATTGAAGAACCTGAAAAGATCTGAGGTTGTCCTTTAGGCACTAGAAAAGCTTTTTTGATAAAGCAAACAGAGCAAAGTGCAATGACGTACAGGTAAAGTGCAGGAATGCACAACATGCGAAAGTGCAAGGTTCAAAAGCTATGTGCAAAGTGCAATAGCCTCTTGGAAAGAAATCAGATTTCCTTTTTTTGTAGGTTAAGAGATCAAATAAGGTTTGATTAGATTTTTGCATGCCTTCATTGCAAAATTGCCTTCATTGCACTAGAAATTTTTTTTTACCAAACAGAGCAAAGTGCAATGAGTTACAGATAAAGTGCAGGAATGCACAGCAAGCAAAAGTGCAAAACCTATGTACAAAGTGCAATAGCCCTTTGGAAGGAAATCAGATTACCTTTTATTGCAGGTTAAGAGATTAGATGAGGTCTGATTGGATACTATGGATTGCTGATCGTTGCATGCCTTCATTGCAAAAATTAAAGTGCAAAAGCTATGTGCAAAGTACAATAACCCCTTGCAAGAAACCACATTTTTTATTATTGTAGGTTAGCAAATCAGATGAAATCTGATTGGATGCTAGGGATTGCTGATCTTTGCATGCAGTCATTGGACTTACCTAATACGCCTTGTCTGGTCCTCAGGCATCATCATGTCACCTGAAACTCTTCCCATAATAGTCTCAGCCTTTGGATAGACCTGGACCATCATTATTATAGACAAGGTAGTGGTCTCAGACATTGAAAAACCTGAAAAGATCTGAGGTTGTCATTTAGGCATTAGAAATGTTTTTTTGATACAGAAAACAGCTAAGTGCAATGGCTTACAGGTAAAGTGCAGGAAAGCACAGCAAGCAAAAGTGCAAAGTGCAAAAACTATGTGGAAAATGTAATGGCCGTTTAGTATTTATCGCTTTTTATTGTAGGTTACGAGATTGGATGAGGTCTAATTGGATGCCATGGGTTGCTGTTCTTTGCATGTAGTCATTGTACTTTGTACTGCTTTATCTAATAAGACTTGTCTGGACATCAAGCATCATCCTGTTACCTACAACTGTCCCTGTTATGGTCTCAGCCCCTTGATAGAACCTGGACCATCATTATTATAGAAATGGTAGTGGTCTCAGACATTGAAGAACCTGAAAAGATCTGAGGTTGTCCTTTAGGCACTAGAAATTTTTTTTGACAAAGCAAACAGAGCGAAGTGCCATGACTTACAGGTAAAGTGCAGGAATGCACAGCAAGCAAAAGTGCAAAGTGCAAAAGCTATGTGCAAAGTGCAATAGCCTCTTGGAAAGAAATCAGATTTCCTTTTATTGTAGGTTAAGAGATCAGATGAAGTCTGATTGGATGCTATGGGTTACTGATCTTTGCATGTGGTCATTGTACGTACCTAATAAGCCTTCTCTGGACGACAGGCATCATCCTGTCATCTAAAACTGTTGCCATGATGGTCTCAGTCTCTGTATAGACCTGGATCATCATTATTATAGAAATGGTTGAAGAATCTGAAAAGGTGTGGGTG